GTGATTGAAAGAAAACTGCCACCATAAGCAAAGTTGCAAGACTTTGTAACATAGGTAGCCAACAGAGAATTAATGTCTATAATGTATACAGAGATCCTATACATTAAAAAATCCAGCAACTCAATGGAAAAAAACATAAAGAACATGAATAGGTAAACCATAGAAGAAACATAAATGGCCAATAACCTTGGTACTAGTCACATGAAATACAATGAAAACAATATATGACATTTGTTTATCTGATAGCAAAAAACTTAAGATAATGATAATATCCAGTTTGGGATAAGGTGGAGTACAAATAAACAGTTTCTATAAAAATGCTAAGTACAAATAATCTATGATCCAGCAATTCCACTTACAGAAATTTATTCTGGGGCAGCCCTGGTGGCTCAGCGGTTTAGTGCTGCCTTCAGCCCAGGACCTGATCCTGGAGACCCAGGATCGAGTCCCACGTCGGGCTCCCTGCATGGAGTCTGCAGTCCCTCTACTGGTATCTCTGCCTCTCTCTTCTCTCTGTGTCTCTCATAAATAAATAAATAAAAATCTTTAAAAAAAAATAGAAATTTATTCTTATGGAATAGACAGGTACTCATGAATATAGGTGCAAAGCTATTCAGTGTATTGTTATTTATAAAAGCTAGAAATTAGTCTCAGTATAAATGTTTATTGACAGGAATATGATCAAATAAATTATGATAAACACATACTGTGAATATTATTTTCAACAGTTAAAAAGAATAAGGTAGTTCTAGGGGCGCTCAGCTGGCTCCCATCAGAAGAGCATGTAGCTCTTGATCTCAGGGTTGTGAATTCAAGTGCCGTGTTGGGTGTAGAGATTACTTAAATAAACTTAAAAAAAATTTTTTTAACTTAAAAAATAAAAAGGACAATATGTGTAGTATATATGGTATGGTATGCTACAGTATGATTCCATAAATGTAAAAATAGATGAGATTATATCTGTGTGCAGTAATATACATGTGAATTCATAGAAAAAAAATCTGGCAGCCTGTACCTCAAACGCTTAACTCAGTGGTTACATCCAGAAAGAACAAGATTAGTTGGGAGAGGGTAAAAGGAATTAAACTCTTTTCTCAATATAAATTAGCACTATTTGAATTATTTCTCTGGAACATAATTCATGCATCACTTGATTGATTCAATAAATAATCACTGAAACCCATTTTATTATTTTTTTTAAAAAAGCAGAAAATGGGGATGCCTGGGTGGCTCAGCAGTTGACCATCTGCCTCAGGGCGTGATCCCAGAGTCCTGGGATCGAGTCCCACATCGGGCTCCCTGCATGGAGCCTGCTTCTCTCTCTGTCTGTGTCTCTGCCTCTCTCTCTCTGTCTCTCATGAATAAATAAATTATTTTAAAAAAATAAAATAAAAATAAAAAGCAGAAAATGATTGAAGCAGACCAAGACTCACAGAGTAGAGGTATATTTTGTTCTTAAATGAAAGTCTTTAGTTCATGGTTGAGGAAACCAAAGCAGATGCCTCAGTTAACAAATCCCCTGGTGTCCAGAGCTTCTTTGACAAAGCTGGTTTCACAGTAGAGGTGGAGGTTCGGACCTCAGCCGAGTCAGTCATCTGGCAGAGGCAGTTCTACGCAGGCCACGTTCAGTGTGACCTTCACTTGGCTGGAGCAGGAGAAATAGGATCAGCTCTCCCCCTCATCTGAAGGAGGGAAAGAAATCAGCTCATAAGAGGGCAAAGAAAAGAAATCTGTACCACTGAAGTGTAACGAAGAGGATATTCATACCCCCAGGATACTTCCCAGTGCTGATCATGTCAGATATAGTCCTAGATCTATACATACAGATAGTCTCCAGCAACCTAGAGTCAAAGATACTATGATGTACCTTTCTTGCCAGCAGAAATATCATACTTCCAGTTTTCTCTTAAATCAGAGAATTAGCCCAGTGTTACTTGTTTAAAAGCTCTTATTTGAGAAACCTTCTTTAAAAAAAAAAAACAAAAAGTAAATTATGATCTTTCAAATCTATATACTAAGGGGTGATTATTAGTTTATTTGCAAAATAATGGACATGAGTTTCCTTTAAGAGTTTCTTTGATACACCTAAGTAGTTGTTCGCTGGAAGCAAAGAGGTCTGAATCTAAACTGTTAGAAGTCATTGTCTGGTCATTGAAAATCAATCCATAATGAAGATGAATCATCTCTGAAAGTATAATCTGTCATTGGACAGTGCAATTGAATTTACTAAAAAAATTGATTCCTGTATAGATTTTGAGGTAATATACTTTGCAAAAGCAGGACATAATGTGTTTTACCTGATAACCTAAACAGAAATATTTTCATTTGATTAGGCTTTCCATGAATTACTAAGAAATATTGAAAATATTTACATCATTTCCATAAGCATGTATGATACATGGGGAGAACTCAGGATTCGGACCAACCCAACGTATTTTCCTTCCTCAGTAAGGGACCCAATTACTACCATCTTTTTAAGAACCACTTTACTAGAAATGTTCATTTTGATATATTCTATTTGGGAATTTTTTTTTATTTTAGTTGCAATTTTCTGAAACTTTATTTCATAACTCATTTTAACAACAACAAAGATCATGCTTCTGGAATGCGCAGAAATTGTAGAAAACTGTATTTTCTCCTTACCAATTCCAAACTGTGGTATTTGACCCCAAATAATAGATTTTAAATAATGTCATTTTTTCATTCTTTCATAAGTACAGCATATTTGATGTAGAAAATACAAACAAAAGGAAGAAAATGAAAATGATCTATAATTCCAATTCCTCAAAACAAGTAATATTTTGAAGTGTATCCTTTTAGTTTTTTTAACGTGTATATAATCCTTTTCTGACAAAGATGATTTCATACAATGCATACAGTTGTTTTACCTCCTATTTTTAACAATATACCAAAGAACATTTCTCTATAATGTTAATAAATATTCTTCTACATAATTTTTTAATGGTAGCATAGTACTGTCAGTCCCCTGGGTTCTTTCCCATTTTGCACTGTTATGAACAAGGCAGTAATGAATATCTTTGTTGTTAAATCCTTCTTCACATCTACAAAATTGAGACATCTTTGAAAGCACACGGTCACACACTTTAAGCCCTTCTCTTAACATTGAGCTAATTAAAAATAAAGAACATTTTCTGTTGGGATTCACTAGAACAAAGGAACTAAATGCTTTGTTTTTGTTTTCCAAATTACTGTCATGCCAGTTGGGGAGGGGGTGTGGAGGGGGAGAAAGTGTCTAATGAACATTATGTGTAGAGGAATTTCTCTGAATCCTAAACTTCTGGCTTAAAAATGAGCTCAGTACTCATTCCAGGTGTATTTGTGTTTAAGAAATTTTGATAACCAGCCACTGGAATTAAAGTGATTGCATTGAATGAATATGCTCTAATTGTTAACTATGATACATTTGTTCTAATTACAAAGCAGCATGTGTTTGTTGCTTTCTAGTTACCTGGATGAAAAGCATGCTCTTTGCTTGGCCAGACTGCTGCTTAGCATCCTTGATACTTACATTGCTTATGGACAACATTTTTGATCTACGGTTTTGGGGGTGGGATGTTGGGGGATCAGCAGCTAAATAAAATAGCCCGGGTCTGGATTTAGAGCCGCCCTCCACATCTTGGCCCCAGACCACACTGAACTGAATCATAAAGTTCTGGCACGTGTGTCCTGTGGAAATGAAGAGAATCTCACATGACATATATGGATTGATATAAAAAGACACCAAACCACATGATGCAGGAAATACTTAAGCAGAAATTTCCAGCTGTGACTACCGGCTCTAAATCCCCACCAAGCTAATTTGTGATCAGGGTGGTCGAATAACCAATTATTCAAGCATACTTTCGTTGTAGAGAGGCATGAAGTTAAATTCTGCCTGCCTTGAGAACAACAAAGGAATGCCTGTCTGGGAAAGTTGCTGATAGAATGTTGTATAATAACCAAAGAGCGGGTGGGGAGTGGAGGATAAAACAGCAGACGTATTTAAAGTGAGAATAATTGTTATTTTTATGCATTTTGTATACTGAAGATAGATGGGTTCTTTAAGTTTTTTATCAGTTGGATTTAGACAGGGTTTCCCAACCTTGGCACCATTGACCTTTTAGACTAGATACTTCCCTCTTGAGAAGGGGAAGGTGCTGTGCATTTGGGTAGGTTACTCTGTGGCCTAGCTGGCCTCTACCTACTAGATGCCAGTAGCACCCCCACCCCAGTTGGGACAACCAAAAACTGTCACAAAAGTGTCCCCCATTGGGAACCACTGGATTAAGAGATCATTATCCTAAAATGCTGAAAAACTACAGATTCAGGCCCAAAATCATAATGTCATGTGCCATTTTATTTATAGATCAGTGTGGGTGGAAGTAGTGCCAGCCATCTCCAAGCTGTTAGACTAGACTTGAAGTTTGATATAGACCCGCACTCTCTGACACCATGAATTCTGTGCAGAAATACATCTCTGTGTGAGCATTGCAACCAAGTATCCCTTGCACCAGTAAACATCATTTATCTGCCTTCTATGTCATGTCTCCTGTACTAGCAATGAAAGTGTCCTTTCTATTGTCGAATGCATTGATTTAAAGAATCTCCAAATCTATTTGAAAGGTATATGGGAGGTAAGTATTAAAACAAACAAACCTGACCCTGTCCCCAAAGGGATCTTCTAAGAATGCTTTAGGAGATCTCAGGCTATGGCAGTGCCCACGTGCTAATACTTTCTACCCATCTAGCTCACTTTACAAGATTCACCCCCTAAATAATTTCCACTCTTCTCTGTTCTAAGACTATTTCCACTTAACTTCCTTGCACTCACTCCCCCTTTGGCTGGTCTAGCTAACTTTATGACATACTCTTCATAAAGTTAGTGAATTCCCTGCTTTTTAAACCTCTCTTTGGCTTCTGCTACCATCTTTCCCTAAAGTCTCCCCCTTGAAAGTCTGCATTTAATAACAGTAGTTGCCAACGTCTTGACCTTTTTTCAGATATGACAATGGATGATGTTCGGGAATACGAGAAAAACATGCATGAACAAACCAACATAAAAGTTTGCAATCAGCATTCCTCTACTGTGGATGACATAGAGAGCCATGCCCAAACAAGTGTATGTAGAATTTTTAAAACATGTTGACCACCCTTTACTGAATGTACACATAAACTGATCTTTGAAATACTGCAAACATTCAGTTCTCAGCTTTCCACAAAAAGCATGTCTCGTCACCCAGAGACTATTGGTGTAGAACCTGAACTAGGTCTAAACTGGACAGTGTCATCTCTCCTTTCTAGATTTTTCCATTCTTAAAAAAGCCGCTGGATTTGGGGGTTGTTCTTCACTCACAAAAACCCAAGAACATGGAGAGTGGAAACATTTGTGGCTGGTGAATGGCCTATACCATGAAAGAAGAGAAGGGTCAAAACAAGTGTCATATGAAAACTAGAATATCATGACAGTAACTTTTAAAAATATAGTTAACACTCAAGTTATTCCTTCAAGGGACAGCTTGTGTCTCATCTGGTGTTTTAGATTTCTTTACATTTGCTTTGAAATGCTTTCTATGGTTCTTTCTAGTTATTGTAGCCAATTCGTTCCTTTTCCTTAGGTTAATCTCCAGATGGGGCCTCAGTCTGTGCACACACAGTGGCTGAGCAGTGAAGGTGTGGTGAACTGGGAATGTGCTGGGCCATATAGCACATCTAACCTGGGACTTAAGATGAGATGCAGAGAGCCACAGGTTATTCAGTGGCACATCAGAAATTGAGAGCTAACTGTATTGTGCATGCCAGCATTTTAAATGTAGTTATCTCTCAATCATTCATGCTAACGAAGAGGAGATAAGGCAACGGAGAAAATGTGATCATTAAGTCGTTATTTGTGTGTGTCTTTGGCCAGAGCTGTGATCTCTTTGGGTATTAGCTTGAGCCCGCATATCTGCAAGCCCATGCCCCAGAACAGCACATATTATTAGAGTTTTGAGAAATTGATAACATAGGTAAAGAAAATTGAGCAACCGCTATTGTTGTACATGGGTGCTTTAGAATTGTGATGAAGATCTTTTGGTTGCCCTTTGGATGTTTTTGTTCAGTTTTTAGAGCATGTATGAGAAGTGTGCCCTGCAAGGCTCCTGTGCATGTGGCTACCCTTGAGGCTCAAATGGCCCTGACTCTTCCTCTCCACATTGCATGCGGTGATTGAATTTGCGCAAAGCTGTTGTTGGGTCAGGTTAACTGTGGTGTTCCTCACTATACACAGGCCCATCCAACAGGACTCCCCTTTTCCTTCAAACCCTGTGCTAACATTTAGAAATGCTCATTAAGGAAATTGTCCTTGAAAGTCCATCATTTTCAATTCCCTTTTCTTTTGGAATGTGAGACTCTAGTTCCCCCCATCCCTCCCCGGCAGCCCTCTGAAAGCTGCTTGCTAGAAGTGTGATCAGACAAAGGAAGCCAGAAGAAAGGGGGAGATACCACATTCCAAAGGATTCTAAGCACCCGGCTTTTCTCATTCTAAGCTCTATCGTTTATAGCTTAAGGCTTTTTGGTTCTCTTTCCATTTTACTGCCATTATTACTGTTAGAACGTCAGTTTACTGTGGTACCTAGACAGTGGTACCTAGAATGGTTCTCCCATGGGAAAGCCCCATGCATTCTCTGGCTGCAATTCACTGTCGGTCCCATGACTTCAGTGTAAGAGATGCCTATCTCCTCAGAAGTTACACAAAGTGGTTATTTTGAGTGCTTACGACATTTCCCTTAGTCTTTGGAATTCTATCAAATTGGGGATCATTTATTTTTCCATTGTCTTTCTTCGCTATGGTAATGAAAAACAGTTGAAATCAAGAGGCTACTTGCTGTCCATCACAAATAAAAACTGCATGGGTGCTCGATAAAATGTAAATCCTCAAGCTGAGTAGGGACACATTAGATTGGAATTATGCAAAATTAACATCCATGAACATGGCGATAAGAAAGTAAGTCTCCTCCATTGAGCAGTTTCAATGCCTTCAAAGACCGAACTTCTAAGAGACTCTGGGAATGTAAAATCGAAATTCTGTATTTTGGATGATTTCTGCCCCCTGCTGGGTATATGGAGTAGAGCTTTATACTCTGCCACTTGTTTAAGAAGTCTAATTTTTTGAGGATGTTTATTTATTATAGAGAATATACCCGATTCACTAAAATTTTTCTGAATCTCAATTTTACTTTGAAGAGCATACTTCTTTTTTAAAAACTTAATCTCATTTCTTAGCTTGTTTAATAGTCTTAGTATTCTTTAAAATGGTAAATTTATAGGTACAATTTTCCTTGTTATATTCTAAATTTCAAGATATCAATACAATCATGATATTTTATTTTCTTTGAAAAAATTTTTAACTTTCATAATATTTTAACAATTGCTCCCAAGAAATCCTCTTAGGGATTTTGGTTTTTGAAAAATATTTCTGACAAATGAACATAGGGGAAGGGAAGGAAAAATAAGATAAAAACAGAGAGGGAGGCAAACCATAAGAGACTTAACTCTAGGGAAGAAACGGGGAATTGCTGGAGGGAAGACATGGGGGGGTGTGGAGGGAGTAGGGGTGGGGTACTTGGGCGATAGGCATTAAGGAGGGCACCTGATGTAATGAATGAACACTGGGTGTTATATGCAACTGATGAATCACTAAATTCTACCCCTGAAACTAATGATACACTATTTGTTAACTAAATTGAATTTAAATTTTAAAAATTTTGGAAAAAAGAAAAATATTTCTGATTTGCTCATGGCATCATGTGACTTTATACATATTACATATACATCCTAATGATTAATACCATGTTATGAATATTCATTCCATAGTTAATATTTCCAAAGTGGATATATTGCTTCGTGTTCGTTTATGCAATATCATCTAAGGAAGATTCCACCACTAGATTCATTGGAGAGGGCAAGAATGAAAAATAGGTCTGTGGGAAGCAAAAGTACATGTAGAAAATCCATGGGCAGCAGATTTCCCCTTTTATTCAAAGACAAACCCTTAGGCTTTCACTCAACGCTTTTTCTAGTAAGCCCAGTTCCTGGTTTTCTGTTACCAGTAAATAAATATGAGAAAGGATACCAAGGTTAGTCAGAGAGTAATTAATAGGAACCATAACAATAGTAATAGAGTTTCTGAGAATGAGAGAAGAGATTTCAAACTATTAAAAAAAAATACAAAATAGGCCCTGATTGAGAAATCATCACAGTGTTGTAGCACAATGATGTATTTTCAATATATTATATCTAAATGGTAGCAATATATAATACATCCAATATATTGGGGGCAGGTGCCCCACTGGTTCAGTTGAAAGAACATGAGACTCTCGGGGTTGTGAGTTCAGGTCCCACATTGGGTGTAGACATTACTCAAAAATAAAATCTCTTTTAAAAATAAATAGATAAAGAAGTTAGGGAAATTTTTACATTTTAAAAATATACATATTTTTTACTTTTTCACTTAATTAAAAAAAACATTTTAGGTATTTAGGAAATCTGCATCACCTGATAATTCCTCTTAATGAGGCATCACTGAATTTATTTCATGAATTGCCAATTAATGTTTTTTTTTTTCTTTTATGTTTCCTTGGGAAAAAAATGGTTTTATTTTTCTTGGCTTGCTTTAGGATAATTAGCAGGGTTTGTGGTTGTTGTCATTATCTTATTTGTTTTTTAAGCTAAATTCATTAAAGCACAGCATTTAAACAATCTCAGGATGGGTATACAGTCAGGAGACCAGTAACCCCCAGAATGCAAAAAGCATATTTATTGAATAAGAAGAAATTCTGATGACGTGTCTATTTACCCTATAAAGGTGTACTTGTGCTTGCATGCCCTAAAGTAGGTAATAATATGTATAATTTCTGGGTCATTGATTGCTTCAACTACCTTCCCTTTATAGAAAAGATGACTAGGTCTAATAATAGCTCCATATACCACAGCATACCAACAGCGTACACACGTACACCATATACTTCCCTGGTCTGTTTCTGTACTCTCTTGATCCTTTCTTATTCAGAATACTTAAACTACTCACTGAAGAGTGCTTTGGAAAATCTTGGATGGATATTCATAAAGGAATATTTTTTCAGAGGTTTGCCTTAGTAAAAAGAAACAATTTGGGGTTTAACATTTTCGGTGATAATTTGGGTTTGTCATCTGGACAGGCCTCTTTATGATAAGATTCCTGTAGTTTCCTTAAAATCAGGCATAGAGAAATCCATTTGCATCTCTTCTAAATAACGGGTCATTTCTCTCTCTATTTTTTTTTCTTTGAAGACATGACAATGGATGAAGTCCGAGAATTTGAACGAGCCACTCAGGAAGCCACCAACAGGAAAATTGGCGTTTTTCCACCCGCAATTTCTATCTCCAGTATCCCCCTTCTGCCTTCCTCAGTCCGCAGTGCCCCTTCTAGTGCTCCGTCCACGCCTCTCTCCACAGATGCACCAGAATTTCTGTCCGTTCCCAAAGATCGACCCCGGAAAAAATCAGCCCCAGAAACTCTCACGCTTCCAGACCCTGAGAAAAAAGCCACCCTGAATTTACCTGGCATACACTCTTCAGATAAGCCATGTCGGCCCAAATTAGAGTAATTTCATATGAATATCATGGGGTTTTATATTTTCATTTGGGTTTTTGTTTTTGTTTTTGTTTTTTTTTAAAGAATCTTCTGATATAGAAAAAGACTGCTTTGTCCCTCGAACATGTTCCTTCGATCTGAGTGTGCATGTGGTTAAGTAACTTCACATATAATAGGATTCCCTAAGTATGCCACACAGCATCAAACTAGATGTAAACTGTAAGACTGGCAGAGGACAGAAGGAATCTTCTGTAGCCACAGCCAGAAACCAGGGAGGAAGAAGCCTTGTTGTTGAACATTTGATGAGGTCGGTGTGGACTTAAAGAGTAAATCAATGAAAACTTCGTGCCACTGTGTTAGAAGGTGTGGTAAAATAGCAAAGTCAATCTCCTCTCATCAAACCTGAAATTCTCAAAAATACTCTCAGGCGTCATATACGTAATTGTTAAATTTCAAACTGCTCATCACCAGTACTTGAAGACTAGTAGTTAACTGAGATTCCTATTTTGGTTATAGTCTGACTCAGGATTTGGGGCCTAATTAACTCTTTAAATTTTTTGAAAATTTTAATTATCAACCTATTGAGGCTCCAAGTGCAATTAATGATAACTTATTTATACCTTTCACAGAATTTAATAAAGATTCCACTTGTTTCTGTCTTTTAATAACTTTCCCCTCTGTGCCCTTGTGGCCTCAGAAATCATTCAGAATTGCCTGGATGAATGTGACCATGACTGGCTGATCTGGAGATGATTTGATTTAGGAAGCAAGAGGCCCAGGTGAGGCAAACATCATGTTCCTCTACTGGTACCAACAAACCTTGAATTGTCAACTTCCATCATCCATTAAGATTCTCGGTATTTGCAATGAATTGAGTAGAACTCATTGACTATTTGCCCATTCAAAGAAGTTCAAGGGTAGACTAAGCTAACAGGACTTTAACCCTGTCAGAATGTCTGGTTCGGGAACCCTGAAAGAGAGAACTGTCTCCCATCCCCCCTCCTGGTATTACTTTTAATAATATCCAGATTTCCCTGGAACAGATTGCCCAGCACCGGACCTTAAAAAGACTGTTGTCTCTCTTGCCCTTACTTGGAATCCAAATATTGGGAATGTCGCAGAAGAGGAGCAAAGACTGTCGAGTGAGAGGAAAGAATGAGCAAAATTGCTGACTCTATTTATAGAGTAAAAAGGAGGAGCAGGAAAAGATGTCCCTCTGTCTAGCTTGCTTTTCTGCAAGTAGTGGTAATGCAAGATTAGAATCCAGGTTGACGGGAAGCAAGATCGTTCAACCCAAGTGGCAGAAAGCGAACTCTCCTTTGATCTAAAGAGAAAAATCTGCCACCATCGCGCCTCACTGCCTTTAAATGCAGAAGGAAGGGCAAGCAGAATCTAGCATTTACTTTTGTCCTCCAAGAGAGGAAGACAACAAGGCAGTTGGGCACCTCCGAGGCCCCAGCTAGCCTTCCTGACCATAACCTCCAACCTCAGGAAAGGGACCTTCCCAAAACACAGATTCCAAAGGAAACAACATAAACCAAGGAGCATGTCCTCCTTCCCACACAGCCTCTCAGCCAGTGGACCCTGCCTGCTCAGCACGCTACATAGTGTCTTTCAAATTGATAAACTTTCCCATGGTGCAGGCGCTGGTCCCACGAACCCAGCACCGAGTATTCTAAGTCCTACGTCAGACTGTCAAGATCATTTCTTTATCTACAGGTTGCCATTTCGCTTAATAAATAAATAAACCCAGAACTCAAAGGAAACCGGTTGCAAATAGTTTAGATCAACAGTGCATCTCTTTTCCTAAGAACGACAGCATCGTAGTAAGAGATCTTTGCATGGTATAGTAGCATGATTTCTGCTTGTGGGAAATCTTAATCTTCTCGAACCCCATGGACTTCTCAATCGTCCCCTCTCCACACAGTAGTACTTAATGAGAATGTTTGGCTTTTGAACACAAAATTCTACTTTCAGAAGACACTGACATAGTACATGTATTTGCTTACCATTTGCCGGCTGAAATCAGGATGGGGTGGGATCATGATTTTTGCATAGAACAGATTTATTTTGTGCAGGTTGTAAACACATCTGGCACCTAGTTCTCCCATTAACACCATTGCCATTTTTCTTTTTTGTAAAGTAGCTTTTGCTATCAAGGTCAACGATGCTGTATGCTTCAGGAAGCTAATTTCTGATTTCCTTCTGTGGCTTTTTTTTTTTTCTCTTGTAGCCAGTTCAATACCACAGACATCATTTTCAAAGCTGCCGATGATAGCGTGATTCTTAGCCAACAAATGTGTGTGCTCTTAAAGTATGTTCAGTTTTCCCTGTCTACATGTGGTTGTGTGCATTTAAACAGGGTGGGGGGGGTGCAAATATTCCTTTAACTGCTTTGAATATTTAATCCAGTCATCACAAGGCATAAATGACTTCAATATTTTATCTGTCTTAATTTTCAAGTGTCATTTCATATTCTCCATACATGAGTTTGTTTTTTGTGGGATACAAGCTTGCGATGAATGTGTATATAGAACATTAATAATTCCTATAAGGATGGAAATTCAAAGGTTGCATGATGGAAACTTAGAAGAAAAAAAAAAGCTGAAACTTGAATTTATTAAGCATGTTTGGGGAAAAATAGAATCTTAACTCAGTGCCTCTGTCTGCAATGTGGAAACCTTCAACCTTGGTCACCAAATTGTATTATACCTGTATATATATAAATATAGCATAGTGAATCAGGCACCACCAGTTTTAAGTCTCTGGTAGCCAAATTAAAATAAATAATCCATAGAATAACACATATGTTCACCCCATCTTCATCTCTGATGTTAGTGGAGACCATCAAAATGACCATAAATGTCATTATTTTGGATGGATTTCAAATTACAAAATGCTCCTGTGCTTTTCGTTGACTGTAATACAGCATCGTTGCTTTGGCTGTGCTTTCCCAGGATAAGAAGGTCTCAGTGTTTTTAGTGCATAAACTTTATCTGAGGTGAGCTCTAAAGACCATTTCATTTTCCTACTGTTGGGCTGAAATAAAAGAAAGCAAAAGAAAAGCATAACAACAAAGGAGTCTGTGACATTTTTCCGTTACCACCATAGTAACCCAAACAATAGAAGTTCATTGGTGAACTGATTTACAAACCCTTCTGCTTTGGGTTTGCATCTGTGTGGGGGGAAATGGTTTTAATTTGGGAGTATTAGCCATGTTTTGGATTGTGAAAATAAATCTCTAAAGAGCGCAGTTGTGAACAGACACTTAAAAAAACACGAGACCTCCAAAAGAAATATATGGTTTTCTTTCAAGACACTGTAATAAACAGTGACCTAAGAGAAAAGATTCTGACACTTCTCAGGAAGTCATTTTTCCGTGAAGATTTCAAGGCTAATGTATGTATGTGGATTTTTCAGTTTTACTTAATTTAGCATCCCTTCATGGCTCAGAAACAACAAAGCCACTGGCTGGCTTAGGTCAATAGGAATTTTACTTTTCACAGGGGCCAGAGTATAATTTAGTCACATATAATGTGTACTCAGATAATCCAATCGAGAACAATTGTCTGAATAGTTTTAGTCCCTTTCAGAACATCTGACTCTGTAGGCTAGGTGACAGACAACCTGCCATCTGAGCCAGAATTCTTGAAACAAAACAAAACAAAACAAAAGATCTGTTTAGTGACTGCAATTGATCATAAATAGGCCATTTGAAACTATTCATTCTTGCTGAAACTGAAGTGTAATCAAGAGCACAGTGTTGGCATGCAGAGGCAACATGTCCCAGGTTCTTCTGTGTTCTCCCTTCAAAACAATCTGTTTGCATTTGAAATAGAAGTGTTCATGCTTTTTAGGAGTTAGTTCAATAAGAGAATGTGAATATGCTAAGAACTTTTCAGATGCCGTTATTAATTATTGTTAACAAGTGCTTTAGGATAAGCCTCTCCATGTTTTTGCTTAAAATTGGGTTGAATTGCAAGTCTCCCTTCAGTTTTTATGTATCACCAAGAAGAGATTCTTTGACCCGTTGTTATAACTAGGCCACTTAAATGTAGCTTCAAGTGTCACTTTTAGGGTTTACATTTCATGCTGGGATCTTGATTAGTTGCATATGTTGAGTCAAAATACCACTGCCACTGCCGAAGGACCAAGTTTTGGAACGCACAGTGTTATAGACTACAAGCAAAGCAAACAAGAGTTGATCCTCACACATGCCATCCTTCTGTGTCATTTTATGGCTGTTTTGTGTTTTTTTCCCCCAGTTATTTATTATTGTTAATAACTTACTTTTTCTTACATTCTGTTGTAAATAAACTACAAAGCAATCTTCTTTCCAAGTGTAGTTTCCTTCTCGCTCTCTTTCTCAGCCATTCTCAAGGGAATGTTGGCAATTGTGAACTTGGGGGTTGGTGGGAAAGAAGTTGTCAAGGAAGAAGGAATAAGCTAAGGGCTGGTACTTAGACCCAGTTCTTGGGATCTCGTATGCAAAGAAGGCTGGCCTGCTAATAGGCCTATGGTGCCTTCAGGGCCAGGGTCATTGATAGGAAAAGCCTGGATGCCAGCTCTAATTGTCCAGCAAAAAAATATCCAAGGTGAATCTATAACCTGATGAGAGACACAGACTTCTCTATCCATTAACAAGTGTATGATTCCCCCTCGTCAAATGTGAGGCTGTAGTCTGAATGACCACCAAGAAAAATCTCCCCAAGGGAAGCCATAGAAAAACCACCCCAGGACACTAGATTCTCTCCTTTGTAGGGTGGACCAGTCTAAGGTGAGCTGCAGTCATTCTGATGTGGTTCCTCCATCTGAAGAAGCTCCTGTCAT